GAAAAACCCTTGGTCTCACGTGAACCAACCCTATATATATATATATATATATATATATATATATATATATATAAGTTAATGATCTAATGGTCTAAATTGCACAGTGGCAATTTTGTGATTATTGAGAAGTCTCGTGGCGTTTATGAATGTTTAGATTGTCAGATTGAAGATCTAATCCAATGTTTGAGAATTGGTCTTACGGGTCTCACGAAAAACCATTGGTCTCATATTATCCCAAGTCTCTCTCTCTCTCTCTCTCTCTCTCTCTATATATATATATATATATATATATATATAGGATTGGGTTCACATGAGACCAACCTGTTTTCATGAGACCACATTTTTACACTTGAAACTTCACAGCAAAAACACTGTGAAGGTTACCTTCACAACATTTTGCTGTGAAGTTTCAAGTGTAAAAAGCTGGTTGCACGGGTCTCACGAAAACATGTTGGTCTTACATGATCCCAATTCTATATATATATATAGAGAGAGAGAGATATGATATAATATAATGACCTAAAGTATATATGTATATACTATATTAAGGAATTATTGGAATGATTATTGATTTTATTTATTGTTTTGGTATCAATGCATTTGATGGTTAATGGGTTTATTTATATTGTCACTTTGGCTTGGTAGGCCAGATGTCATTATAGACAAGTACAATCATATTTCCCTTAATTGAGTATAGGATTTGCGTGTTTATCTTGTTTACAACTTTAAGGACTAGTAAGTCGCTCCCACGTGTTTCATCGACATCGACAATCCTTATAACAAACATGTTTTGTGGCTAGAGATAAATCACCTATGTTGTTTTTGGATCGTTCATCCCATGCGGCCATATATGCATTGGCAGTTTACGATCCATATTTTTACATATGTACAACTTCTTTGTGATCTTTAATTTAATCCACTAGCTTCACCCAAGACTTCTAGACCATTAAACCTTAAATTACTTTATGCTTTGGATGTTACGTTTTCCCCTCTAAATGACGTCTCCCATCTTCATCGGCGACTAAGTCTTTTCGTTAACCCTTGCAAGCCCTCCATCAATTCTTACGTCAAAGAATCATATCAAAAGGTGAAAAAACTTAAAAATACATTTAAAATGTTTATTAAAAGGATAAAGAAAAGGCCATTTTATTGGATAACTAAAAGCACACATCTTTTCACCCTAAGATTATGGAAGGCAAGGTTGATGGGCATGAAGAAGATAAGACCAAACTGTTGCTTGATATGACTTCACTTGGGTAACATGAGACCCTACAAATGGTTCCAAATGTTTAATAGGTATTACCTTTCTGTTTTTGATCATAGATTTGGGGAATTTTAGTAACCACGTGTATGGCACAAAAACAATCAATTATTTGAATAGAATATATTGAGGTTTCACGTATTATCACATAATATCAAAGCCAAAATCATTCTATGACAACTTATATTCATCTATCCCCTCTCGCCCATCTACGCCCCTTTACAAACATTGAGAGAATATATATCGTTGTAAGGGGACATGTTAGAGTCTTACATCGATTAGACTTGGACCATTTCTTCTTTCTTTCAAAGACTGTTTTAGTCTTTAAAAAAAAGTTGTTTAAAGTTTATAATCAACATAAACCAGATATTCCAAACATATGATTTTTTTTTTGATAAATTAGACAAGGATCCTAATAATTAGTGGAATCATTTACGAAGTTATTTAAAGATTTAGTTTTAAATTTAACAAATTGAAAGGACATATTTTACAAAGCACATATTGATAAAAAGGAGCGATAGAGCGGGCCAACTTAAAGGTGTTTTGGGATTGCTTATTTGAAACAACTTATACTTTTCTACAAAAGTCCTTGTTAACTTATTATAAGTTAGAATGATATAACTTCTTCAAAAACTCCTTATTATCGGTTTGACACCGAGATAAACTGTTTATCTAAACACTCAAAAATGCTTATTACCGGTGTCACACCAAAATAAGTCAATAAGTTGTTTTTATAAGCAATCCCAAACACTATTTTACTACTGAACCTAAATTAAAGATTATGAAACCTAGCTTATACTAATACGAGCTTGCTTAACTTACATTATAGTTTAACTAAAACCTCTTCGATCTCAGATAAACTACAATTAAACCAATACACTCATTTGATTGAGTATAATACTTGACAAATTGATAGAGAAAACGTTAGACATTCAAAAAGAAACACGTTCTATCTTATAGTTCCGTAATATATATATATATATATATATATATATATGACATTTTCTAAAGTTTAAAAAAAAATCCGATCAACTTACAACCGACCATCCATCACAAGTTCAAACCAAATACTTTTCAAAATGGACACAAGATGTGTTTAACTTTTCTTATTAGTTCCATTAATTGCAACAACCAATTTCCCCATAATTACATCGCAGATATACATTAAAGAATTGTAGACGAATGAAATCGAAATTCCTCCGAAAGGAAGGTAGAATAATGGAAGATGTACATGTAATTCATAACTTACATTTTCGTATTAACTGGATCCGATTAGCAGCATAAGAAACAAACGTTCCTTGTTCTCGATGTATCCCTATCTTCAAGGCCTCTCATGAACGACCTGATGGCCAGCTGTTCTGATGCATATGTGGTAAAACATGCAAAAATCAAACCTCCCCCAGCCATCATACTTAGCCTATCATCAATATGAAACAAAGAAATGAACACCTGAAAAAGTAGTATTTGTCGTATATAAATGTTACACAAAAAGAACTCTTTTGATACCTCAAAAATAAAGCATTAATCCCAAAAACACCAGGAGCTAAAGGGGCAGCAACAGCCAGAAATGCCATCCCTAACCCATAGTACCATGGTGCAACGTCACAAGAAACCCTCTGATGACCTGCATACGTAACCAACACAAGCAACTTTAACACCAATTCGGGTTACTACTAATGGGGTCTTTTAATTCTATCGATTAAAAGCAACACCTTTTTCAAAATCATAATCTGAAGCTCCAGGACGAGGGTTTCCTGTTTGACTTGCCACCATCTTCCCCCATTTATATATTATGTGCAAATAACCTCCAAACAGCAGAAAGAAGGTCGTAAAGATCCACTCATACATCAGAACCAACCCAGTCCATGGCTTCACTTGCCGCGGCACAACCGAAAAACCAAATCCAAGAGACACAATCACAGCCATGAAACAGACCAATATGGAAATTCCACCAAGGAAAGCAGGCACCATGGAATGCACACCATTAGAGAACTATGCATCACAACACACATTTTATTAGTGTGTATATATATATATATATATATATATTTTAAAGAAAATAATTTAGAATGTATTGTTCATATGAAGAGAATTAAACCTGTTGATTAGAATTAATGTTGGATGAAGATACTGTAGAATAGGCAAGTGCACCTCCAGATCTAAATTTGTAGTATATATGTCTAGCATGATCGCATAAAGAACGTGTCTACCCAAACACAGAAATGGATCCAGATGATGAATATAAAGGTGTCATGATAAGCCCAAGGAAACAAAACAACTCAAAGTTTCTAACCTGCAGAAAAGATCGATAGTAACAGAAAAGTAAAATGAACAATGGGAACAGGAAGAGAATTCTGACTAGAAGATCGTTATGAGGATCTCTGCCTCTTCCAGTTCCAGGGAGAGATTCCTCTAGATGTTCTCTGACATCCTGTACTACCATTGAACATGAACACCATCAGAGAACTTGCATCTTATGACAGACTTCTTGTTATAAGTTCCAGAAAAAGTTCAGAAAAAATGCATTTGAAACAGAATTAACTACAAAAGAATACCTGCCATATATCCACAGGTTTTACAAGCCAGGATGTCCACCAATCCCATGGTTTGAGAGGGCCAAGTGTATAGTGTATAACACAGAGTTCTTTCTCATCAACCATCCACTGTTATGCAGGACAATGAATCAACATATTAGAGACTAATTGTGCTTAAGATACTATGTACGAATGCTTTCAAAAAAGCATACATTCTTCACAGAGCCTCATGGCTAGTATTTGCAGAAGCCCAGATAGAGAACATCGAAGGCCTTAATGTATGAGAATTTCTAGAGAAAAAGGATCAAGATGACAAACAGCCCAGGCAACCAGTGGAAAGTACTTACTTACCTTGTTAGCAAGCATGTAAAGTCCAACATCTGCATTATAGAGAGTAGAAAGTCTCTCCATTTCTGCAACTGGTCTAGAATCCAGCACTTCAGGAGAAACGTTAGGGTCAAAAACACGTGCACTCGGAAATCCAGCATAATAGGCATTCAGAAAACCTTGATCACCTACAAAAGCAACAAGAAAACAGAACTTCTAAACTTGCCATCAAGCAAATAGCTTAATGGTATTTGGCCCCATTCTGTAGAGCTAACCATGGTGGTCAAAAAGCATTTAGGCTTAACGAGAAGTCACACAGTAAGATGTGATGGATAAATAGAATGCTGTACCTCCAGTATAAGAATACAATGTTGTCACTTTGCTCACCATGTCGTTGAAAAGTTCTTCAGATGGTTCTACTACCATAACACCTGAGTTCAATCTCTCTGAATGTTTTAAGTTGGCACAGAATTTTCCGCATTTGAATAAAACATCAATATTCTTGACCACGATTGTATCAGCATCAAGATAAACCACTGCAGTAATCCAAGAAACTATCAAAGGCCTTAACATTTATTTAATTTAGATGAAATAAAATAAGAGGCTTTTACATACTTCAAAATATACTAAATGACGAACAAATGTTGACAAAAAGAGTAGGGAATCACCTTTTTTGTAATCGGTCATGTTGAATATCTTCAGTTTCGTGTATACCCCCCAAAACCTTGTTGGTCGCACTTGATTAGGGTTCTCCAATAGACTGATTGGCGTCACAATCCAACCATCAGCCTGCAAAGATAATCCCAGAAACAATGGTAGTTTGTGGCAGTCAAAATTTAACATGTACTTGTATGATCCTTCCAATTGCTTAAATAGTGACGAACCAATTTGGAATTATCTGATAAGTAATAGAATGTTTGATTGGAATGATCAACCTAATGCCAACTCCTATTAGTTCTGTAACATTTTTTGTTAATACGCATTATCACGTCAAATATAAAAGAAAAACCACATGCATTTGGAGATTATACAGAATTGGTTAGAAATTTAGGGCAACAAAGCATTTTGGTTTTATAAATTGAATCAAAATCGAAAAAGGGAAGGCAAACCTGGAGAAGGGTCTTGGCGTAGTCGGAAACACCATCAGATACCAAAACGACCATGTCCTTGGTGGATCTGGTATCACGAATCGATTTCCCAAGAACACGTGCTCCCAACACGAATTCATCTCCATATAAAAGGGTTACATAGGCTTGCTTTGATGATTCGGAAGCCAAAGCTGTTCGTAGGTTTTGATTCAGAGCTAATAACAGAATGAAACCAAATTCAAACCTCCAACTGGATTTCATCGTCTCGAGATGTAATCAAACACAAACGTCAGGAGATTGAAAGCAATCATGAAGCATTCTATTCAATTAGTATTAGGGGATGGGATGGATTTAGAAAAGGTTTTTGGGTTGATAGATGATTGAAGAGAACAAATTTGGATGGCAAGAAATCATGTTCTTGGTTATTCATCTGTGAAACGAAAGTGAAACTCCTGTCCCTCGTGAAACTACAAAAACGGTAAATGGACCCACAACCAAGTATTTTTATAAATTTTCAAATAACAGATATCCTAAAAAAATCATTTCAGATGCTATTGGTTAAGATAATCAATGGTAGCTTTGGTTTGATTATGTCACCATTGGTCATGGATTCAAGAATTTTATCAACTAGGTGTGGGTGTGGGTGTAACTTTAAGGTGGATCAAAAGCTTACGGGTTTGATCTTAGGGGAAAATCAATTCGGTTTGTCGGGACAAAAAGTCAATTATGTTGATTACGGAAATTATATATTTTGTTCAAATTGAATCGACCTTCACCTTTTGAACAAAACACAAGACTACGTCTTACTTACAACGTGTATTTATGTGATAACTGGTTAGTTGGTTATAAAGTTCGGGGTTGTTTTTGAAAAAAAATTATAATAAGTTGAGGTGTTAGATTTGTTATTATGTTTAAAATCATTTAAATTAACTCACCGCCTCATGATTTTATACATGATAATATGGGATAAATTATATTATCTCATGGGATTGATAAAAGAAATATAGAAAGAAAAACTAGGAAAAAAGTGTGTGTTTTTCCTGGAGTACGAAGGAAATAAAAGCAAAAAGAGAAATAAGAAAAAGTTGATTCTTTGTTATTACTTGAATTTGTTGTCATTCGTCCTCATATCTTCGTCTATGTAGATTACATAAGGTGAGTTATTTATAAATTTTCCTTATTTGGTAATGTTGGAAATTGAACTGTATGGTTCTTTATATGGGTTGATATAAAACTGTTTTCGATGTTATAATTAACATATTTGTGGGTTTTTGATATGTTATATCATGTGTAGAAATAAGATGACATATCAAGTAGAGGTGTATTTTGATTACAAGAGTGACATATCAAGAAGAGGTGTATACTGGGATAAGAGTGACATATCAAGGAGAGGTAAATACCGGAATAAGGGTGGCATGACCATTGTGATATAAAATATGGGGTTTTGATCAAAATGTTCTTTGTTATCGCATCCTTACAACGAAGTTATTCAAGTTCTTTTTCTCAAAGAAGTCAAAGAGCCTTGTTAGACTCGGCAGAAGTGTAAGGTGTAAGTGAAGAGAATAGAATCTCTAGAATTGGTGCTCTTGAGTTTGCAAAACGATTATTGGTTCGCAATGCGATGACTTGGAGTTGTCGCATTTGTGTGATGTGATGACTTAGAGTTATCGCATCCTATTGATGCAATGAAGAATTGTTATTGCACCTATATGAAGCGAGGAGTGAGTTTGTCGCATCCTTGTGATGCGACAAGTTGGGTTTATCGCACCGATGTGATGCGATGAGTTGTAGTCCTCGCACCACTGTGTTGCGAGAAGATGAGATTGTCTCACCCATGTGATGCGAGAAAATTATATATTCATCTATATGATGCAATAAGTTTACTCAGAATGTGTTTATTAAGTTATTTGACTATTTTGATGCGATAAATGAAGTTTGCTTTATGAAAGTATTGTTTATTTGTTACCGATACAAATATGATTTCATAAATGTGATTTAATGATTATTCACCCTATAATAGCCAATAAAGGGATTTCTTGCTAGACATTAAGGTCTAACCCTTATTTTGGTGTTTTTGAAAAATATGAATCACAGGTCGGACTCAACCAGAAAATAAAAGAAAATGAAAATTGTGAAGAATTATATTTGTCTGCATGGAATGTCAAGGATATCATGATATCTTTTAAAAAATGTAGCTTTTGTAATTAATAGGACCAATAGTGTAAATTATATTTATATAAAAATATATGTTTATATACAAATGTGATCTTGGGTGTTACATTTTAGTTGAATTCCACTGTTATGTTACGAAAAGTTTTTTTTGTTTTTTGGTTGATTTTATAAAAAAATGTTTTTTTTTGGTATTTGATATTAACTGACATTTTTTTGTCTAGGTTTTCAATTGCATGTATCTAGGATTTTGAGAAACAATAATCAAAACAGTAACTAAAAATAAAATACAAACAAATCAAACGAAAAACTTGTATTTTTTGAAAAAATTAATGATCAAGAACTTAATAATTTACAAAAAAAAAAAGTAATAATAAATATAATGAGATGAAATTAATAGAGTTTTCAAGTGTTATTAAATTTGATTTAGGGTTTTGTGAAAGTGAACCAGGATCGAATCAATTAGGATTTGGTATCCAATTTTAAGCCAAAACAAATTGATGCCCATCTTTCTTTGTGCTTGTTGATGGAAGGAAAACGATAACAAAGCAAGTAATGGTGATCCCATGGAGCAGATTAATGTGCACCTCTCGCACAATTCTGCTACCCCGCCTGCAGCTTTATAGCAGATCTTATTCAAAAACGTTGCCTGGGGTTGCCGCCAACATCCGCATACTGAATAACAAAATCACAAACTTGATTCGAGACAGTAAATTGGATGAAGCAAGGATGTTGTTTGACAAATCAAGACAAAGAAACCCGGTGACTTGGAATTCAATGTTGAGTGGGTATGTAAGACGCAGAGAGATAGTGAAAGCACGCCAACTGTTTGATGAAATGCCTGAGAGAGATACTGTGTCCTGGAACACAATGATTTCCGGGTATGTTGGTTGTCGGTGTCTAGAGGAGGGGAGGGTCTTGTTTGATGGAATGCCATGTAGAGATATTGTTTCTTGGAACACGATTATTAGTGGGTACGCAAAGAATGGAAGGATGGATGAAGCTTTAAGGCTCTTTGATCAGGCTCCCAACAGGAATACTGTTTCTTGGAATGCCATGGTTACAGGGTTTTTACAGAATGGCGATTTGAGGAATGCCGTTGGGTTTTTCAAGAAAATGCCTGAGCGAGATGCGGCTTCTCTTAGCGCACTTGTCTCCGGTCTTATTCAGAATGGGGAATTGGATGAAGCTGGAAAGATTCTGCTCGAGACTTCGTGTGAGAATGATGAGAGATTAGATATGGTTCATGCTTGTAACACTTTAATTGCTGGATATGGCCGGAAAGGACGGATTGAAGATGCTAGACACCTTTTTGATGAAATTCCATATCATCGTAGAAATGTGGTGTCTTGGAATACTATGATTATGTGCTATGTGAAAGCTAGGGATGTTCTCTCTGCAAGGGTTCTATTCGACCAGATGATGGAGCGGGACACATGTTCATGGAATACGATGATAAATGGTTACATTGAAATATCCGACATGGAAGAAGCTTCATACTTGTTTAAAGAAATGCCAAACCCTGATGTATATACGTGGAATTCATTGATCTCGGGATTTTCCCAGATGGGTAAAGTGGGAATTGCTCGTGAATTTTTCCAGAGGGCACCCCAAAGAAACCGTGTGTCATGGAATTCCATCATAGCTGCTTACGAGAAAAATAAGGAATATAAAGTAGCAATAGAACTATTCACCAAGATGCAATCGGAGGGAGAAAAACCCGATCGACATACTTTGTCTTCCCTTATGAGTGTTTGTGCTGAAAATGCTTATATTCATCTGGGTATACAAATACACCAGCAGCTCATAAAGATTGTTACTCCAGATGTGCCATTAAATAACTCCCTTATCACCATGTATGCCAGGTGTGGAGCTATAACGGAAGCTAGAGTGATCTTCGAGGAGATGAAGTTTCGTAAAGATGTAATTTCATGGAACGCAATGATCGGTGGATATGCATCTCATGGATATGCAACCAAGGCCTTAGAACTTTTTGGTTCAATGAAGAAGCTATCAATCCAGCCAACATATATAACATTTATATCTGTTCTGAATGCATGTGCCAATGCAGGCTTAGCCGAAGAAGGCCGTATGCACTTCAAATCCATGATTAATGAATTTGGTATCAAACCCAGGGTAGAACATTTTGCTTCCCTTGTGGATACCATGGGTCGGAATGGACAACTTGAGGAGGCCATAGATTTGATCAAAGGAATGCCGGTTAAACCTGATAAGGCGGTATGGGGTGCGTTACTTGGTGCTTGTAAAGTGCATAATAATATTAAGTTAGCCCAGGTTGCGGCTGAAGCATTAATACGTCTTGAACCCGAAAGCTCTACACCATATGTGTTGCTACATAATATGTATGCTGATGTTGGACAATGGGATGATGCAACAGAAATCAGGATGTTAATGGAGAAACATAATATTAGAAAGGCAGCAGGGTACAGCTTGGTGGATTCGAGTTCCAGATGATTTACGATGTTTCTAGTAACGCAGTTCGAATTATAATCAATTGCATTGTAGTTTGATGCAACATCTCGAGGAAGCTTTGTATCGATCGTGTGATCTCCGAGAGATCAATTTAAGTCGTCATATGATGGGGGACATTTTGTGTTCCTTTGATGATACAAATGGGGTCTTCACGGAAAGAGTCGAGGTCGATGACAGTATGCATATATATTTTGGGCTCGTTTGGTTTGGAGAACCCACATAGATATTGACTTGATGTAATAAAGTTTGCCTTAATTCCTATAACAAAGTTCAAAGAATTCTTATCTAATGTAACAAAATTTCTTATTTATAATCCATTTTGACAGATCATTTACTGATGTTGTAACATTTGATTACATGGACGTTAGGTTTATCGTCCACTTCACTGCAAGTCTTTTGTAAGCATTTCGTAGGCTCATCCAAGTGCAAGATGATCGATAACCGGTAGTGTCCCAGAGCTTGCATGCTTCGTACAGATAGTGTATGCTACTGGGAATTCATATAGTGATTCTTCAGCATCCATTTTAAAAAACTTCAGATTTTTACATCATTTGCCAAGATTCGGAACAAATTCATTTCACAACATTGAGAAGTAAAATCTTAGGTCAAATGAGCTGAACTCGAGTATTACCCTCGTATATTTATGTATTGTACCAATCGTGTCTAAAAACAAGTCCTAAACTTTGGATCATGTTTTAACTCGAGTACAGTTAAAACCATACATTTACGATTTAAGGCTACTACCAAAATTTGATGGTGTCGAGCGCATGGAGATTCCTGATAAAATTTGCTTTTGTACCTCAAACCGGAAATTTTTACTCATCTGTAATACGTTGCCATGAAGTAGAGACTTAAAGAAGTTGCAGCAGTGACGATGATTTCCTGCAAATGTATACAACACAGAAGTCACATGGATCATACTTGTTTGCTAATCGTCATAACGGGAAAGAGATGATACTGATTTTGGAACACAAGATTCTGCTACTAGGTCATCATTGAAGACATTTACTTAATAGTCAAACACTTTTCTTGATATAATGTGAAAATACATGCACAGATAACAGAACAATTTTGTATGAAAGGGATTATCGGTCATACCTGGTTGTTATATAAGGCGACAGGGACATAACCTCCAATGAATTCGATCAAATTCACCAAACCAGTATATCCCTGAAATAGAAAAGGATAAATATAATAGAAGCCTCCAACAACTTGATGCAAGATGAGTAATTAAATCTGGATTTTTGTTTCCTAACTCTATATTTCAACATTTGTCTAACTATGATGAAACAATTCTTGTATAATTTGAAGCTAAGAAGTAACCAATTTCACTCAAAAGAGTCGAATGTGGAATCTTTATTTCTGGATGGATGTATGTATCCAGTTATTCTTAACTTATATTTGGATCAAATACAATCAGCATGTTTCAGCATTCAAGTGGCAACAACTATCATTCAATATGCATCATAAACGATTTCATGATTATATCACATACCAAAGATGCAACAGCTATGCATCCAAAAACCAGTGCAAGGGAGCGTAGCAACCGTTTCCCCATCCGCATCATGCGTCCTTCGTCCTCGCCTTCTTCCTGCAGCCAAAATCAGCTCAATTATAAAGCAAGAAAAACCAAAAGCCTGTAATATTTGAAGCAATAATTGAAGTCAAAAAGTAAGATAGTAGTCCTAAGGTTGGTTTTGACTTACTGTAAATGCCATGGGTGCAGGTGCTTCAAATGTCTTTAACTTTTCGAAGACTCTATATACGAATACAAAGGATAAAAACTGCACAGGTTTCCAATCAGCATTGCGCGCAACTAGAATCCAAGCAATCTGCCGAAGGAACACAAAAGATCCAGGTATCAGCAAATCAAAGAAATAAAACAAAGCAAGGTAAAATAGAAATTGGCTGAGTTGTTATGGCACCATGGCAAGTGATGGCGGTAGCAAACCATGAGAATGCCATGGCAACATTGCAGCTGTGTGACAAGTTCATATTGTGCAATTTGCAGGTGTATTTAATTTAGTTTAATTGAACATGAAACAATGAATATAGGAACAAAGGAACACTATTGAATGCACAACAGCAGCATCATTTAGCCATCAAGTGATCAAAATTCAAACATAGACCTTTTGACATTATAAACCATTAAAACAAGTCAATATTTAAGGAGCACCATGGATTTAATAGTTTTAAATTCAAAATCATTCCAGTTATCAAATTTTACTTTTGAACCAAAGACTTTGTTTTTCAGTTTGAAGTTCAAAGACAGCATTTGATATTTAAGAAGTCACATACTAACTCTTTGATCAGAAAAAATTAAAGAGAGAAATAACAGTTGATTTGATATCTTAGAGTTCAATTTAGGATATGAAAACTGGCAAAAATGAACTTGTATAAGCATTTTTTTTCCCAAAATGTCCCAAATGCAATACAACAATAACCTTCTAAAGCTCAAAAAAGGTGAAGTACAGCGTCGGTATAAAAAGAATACATGTTACATACTATTAAGCCAAGTAAGAAAATATGTTGCGCAATTTCTACACTTACGAATGCAGCTGATATTGCCATATTAATCCGCGTGTCTTTCACATCAGACTTGGAGAACCTGAGGATATGAGAAGGCACCAATTAAGAAAACTACATAATTTTGTAAACCATAACCCGAACAGTTTGTGAAACAAATACTCAAGATAAACTCCACTGTCATTTATAAAGGATCAGGCAATAATTTTTTTCATACTAGACTATAGAATCATATTAAGTTAGTTTTAGCAATTCTAGATGTATGAAGCTTAGAGTTACTTTCCTTCTGCGACTAGTTTGCTTATGGCTCCAAGACCCTGTGCACATATGTACAACCACATAACCACACACACACATATAAAGATGTATAGGTGTGCGTATGTATAGATAGGTGTATATATACACATACGCTATATATGTATAGGTCTATATATACTCATACACACATATAATATATATGTATATATAGGTACATAGACATGCATGCGTATGTGTGTGTATATATGTATCATGTATGACATATATGTACTTATGTKCTTTGTCTCAAGTCTATGGGCTTCATGCGCAAGTTCTAGCCAATCAAGCGGGACAACAAACAAGGTTGACATAGATAGACTAATGTCATACAGAAAACAGCAAGGGACGTAAATGGCAGCCAACATTTAAGGGAGCAACAGCAATGGCTTAGGAGGTCACAGCAAAGCCTAAGGTCTAGAGACTAGCACAGGAGCTAGATACAGACACCACCATGTTTTGTTGTTAAAAAATACATCCATTGCCGCTAATTTGATTCTGTTTTTCATCTTCAATTTTCATTGTCAATGTCTTCCATTCATTTGTGTGCAAGGATCAATGCATTAACAGCCCACAACTAGAATCGAAAACTGATGTCTATTATCTCTTTATCTTTACACAACTCCAGGTCACTAGTCTTTTGCTACACTTCTGGTGATTTTCCCATAAAAACACAATTATATATTGTAAGTGATAACGGCAACCTGAAGGTGCCACTAATCCACTTGGTATAGGCCCACTGCCACACAGTCCTATAACCGGCAAAGCCCTCCCTATGGGATGTTTTTTTATCAACCTGGATATCCAACCCGCTATGCGAGCCGACTAATCCCAAGACGGCTAATTCCTATGGGATGTTGACGTGGCCACAAGAATTTTTGCACCCAAGGGGAATCGAAAGATGAGTATATTTGATAAAATAAATGTAATGGTAAAAATATCCAGATAAATTCCCTAATTAATTCTAGTTGTCTTTTCCTCTCATCAATCATGAGACCATTAAGAGGCACTGCAAGAGTAAAAATCATGAAGGTTTTAAGCTTCATAAATATCCCAAGAAAATGGACAAAAGAAGATCCATACATCGAGGGAGGGTCCAAGAAAGTACACTTCTACAAACTTAATTAATCATATCATCTCCTGTCTTCACTTGCACTAAAATCTAGCATCGCGCTCCAGTTGACTTAAATCCAGGAAAACTAATACTTATCTATCTATTAAAGAAATAATGATATAGTTAACTGGAAGTGTTCCTAGAAAGTCCCTGCTTACTTTTACTAAATGTAAATATTGTTGGGTGTATCTCTAATTCTTAACATGGAGCTGATCAAAGCCGTGATCATAATTGAATAACCCAAAAGAGGAAAAATTGAGGCTTAGTGGTGTTAGTAGAAGGCTTCAGCTATCGGGCTAAGGGCTGTGGAGGTATTTGGGCTGCATGATTTCTTTACACACTACATACAAGTGTAGCATAGGGTTTTTATAATTGGTTCTCTGTCATTTTAGACATTGCGTTTTTACAGCTTAGCACCAAACAAAGTGTTATAGTGCCACTCTATGCCCTTACTTTAAGATTTCAACACCTGCATGATATTGATGAATTGTGTAGAAGTATACATGTCACATATACAAGGACTTAAAGTTCCATGTATCCACCTATCGGCGTAGATCTCGCTGCAAGGTACTGATTAATGAAGCACCAATATACAATTACATCAGATGTAAAAGAACATTTGAAGCTAAAAATGACATGAGGCTAATGAGAGTTCTGAATATACCTTGGGCCCCATGGAATGATTGGTTGCTTATCAGCATATTTAATATCCTTTGAAACCTACATTTGTCATTCAAATATAATAAGTAATTTGGGAGTCAAATTGCCTCGCTTGATTATTGAACTGCATACTCAGCAACCTATAGCAACAAATTGACAATTACTGGGAAAAATAAAAAATCTGAACCAAGGGCAAGCCAATATGAGGCCGCATGTTCTAGCATGATATACTAAAGGTTAACACTACCTAAGTAGCAGTTCAACCAAACAGACACCAGAACCCAAAAGGTCCTCCTGCATTAGCAACAAATACAATTGGGGTAGGCATATTCGATTGTTGAGTTACATACAATTGGGGTAGGCATATTCAATTGTTGAGTTACATACAATTGGGGTAGGCATATTCRATTGTTGAGTTACATACATAATTGGGTTAGTCAGGTTTAAAATTTTGAAACCTGAATCTAACATCCATAGCATATTTGTGTAGCAGAGACTCCAGACCAATCAGGCAATGAAATCATTAAATACATAGCCAGTTATATATGGTATCAAAAATCAACCCAAAAGCAGAAATTGGTACGGTTAATTACTCCCACTTCTATAAGAAATAAAAAGATACACTTGATAAGTCCATGGCAATGAGCCCAAACACTATGCCATGGACCTAAGTGTGTGACTCTGCTTATGGCAAACTAAAGCAAATGACTTTGTCCTCTTAGAGCATACTAAATCATATTGTATCTAAACAAGATACACATAATATATGCTCCCTCAATCCAAAACAAACTGCAACAATTTCCATTTTGCAATGTCCCATATTAAGTGCAACCGTTCTTTTTTCTGAAAAGTGTCAATTTAAAATACATATTTCGCAATAGTAACCATTACAAAATATTGAATTTTGGTCCCCAAGATTCTCCCTAGTTTATCATTATTGAGGGGTACTTCAGTGTGTATTAAACTGTAGTGAGTCGAACATTGCAATTTTCTGGGATGAATATGTTATTATTTTACTTACATGTTGGTAGAACCAAACTATAATGATACAGTAACGTCGCGGATTGATTGTCGTAGCACAATATATTTTGAAGTTACATTATAGTAAGAAGTACATGATTAAAGTTGCTGAAGTAGGCATAACGTGAAAGATATATGTGCAAGGAGATAATAAAATCTAACATCCACCCACTGCCATCTATGCTGCACACACAGTGAAAGCAAATAATTGAAGCAATTCTATTTTCTATGGCATGCCAATAAACCATAAAGTTAAAACCCTCATCCTTCCAGCTTTTGCAATGTAAGAAAGACCTAATTCAAGTTTAATATTACCCGAACAAATCTGATCATAACAGCAGTGTAAATCATGCGATCTATGCAACTAAATTAGCTCAAAGATGCAAGTTGTACCTTAAATGAACCAAACGTGACTCCTTTCTTTCGATTTGTTAATTGCGCCATCATGAGTTTGTCATATGCCTTTTCCAACTGAAAATCATATGTATAAAGCCAATGTGTTCACTATGAGAATGCCAATCCAATTCACAGAAAATGCCTATTCTTGTATGCTAAGTATCAGTATTATGAATTCAACTTCAACAAAAAGAAACACAACAAAGAGGGATATTGACATACAAGAGCCGCCTTCGCCTCATCCCCTCTTCTCTCAGCATCCTTGCGCTTTCTTGTATAAGCCGCCTTCACCATATCAAATCCCTCAATGGGATTCACGCCAAGGACCTGTGGATTATAATCTTCTTAATACTTGCACTTGTATCATTGGATGAAAGAATAGAGCATGCTCCCAAAAGTTAAATTAAAAAAACAAACTTCAAAAGGGTTAAAGTTCTTAAAACATAGTTACTATGGGGAATGTAGTATATGCTACCTCGTACGGATTAAACTCATTGTCTGAACTAGAACTTCCAGCAGCCGATGAAGCAGCACAAACTACCCTTTGACTGAAGCGAGATGTAGGAAATCTGCAATTTCACGCATCGTACCATTGTAATAATCTTGTACCAATCAAAACCAATTTTCAATTTGGAATTAACAGACAAAAATAAGTTAGAAAATTAAATTTTATAAAAACATTTTCCAAATACACAAAAAGTAATTGGAAAATCATTGGTTCTTGAGACAAATAAGGTAAGAATTACAAAAACACAAACAGTGAGTGAAAACTTAAGGATTTTTTACCTGACGAATGATGGACGAATACTGGAGAGCGAGGTATGAAGGACGCAACTGTTCTTGGCACAGAAACGAGAATTAGGAAATTGGAAGGCGTTGGATATAGCCAAGGCCATTATTGCTGCTGGGATGTTGATGATGATGATGACTGTGTGTGTTCTTTGATTCTTTTAGGGTTCCTTTGTTTGCAGGTGTAGTGTGGGTCTTCACTCCCGTTTAACCCGTGCCCGATAACTTTTTGCCCGTATCTTTTTCTTTCTTTCGGCTTTCACTCCAAAAATAAAACAAATGTAAATGATGATGGTCACTTCTTTATTATTATTTTATTATAAAACTAAAAAACCTCATTTTTTTTTTTTAATGTTTAAAACTTTACATCTTAGATATCAAAATAAAAGTTTTGAATGTACATTACCCAAAACATGAATGAAATTAAAATTACCTTACTTTTTCATACGATTTACCCTTTATTCTAAAAACAAATAATTAGGTGTACAATAGTTATTAAGCAAAGTAAGTTTATTTGTACTAAATTTGACAATTAAAATGATGAAGATATTTCGTGTAATTATATTTATTTTATGGTCCGAACGTTAAAAAAAAAAAAAAAAACTAGATATGTAACTCAAAATGTATTATGTCAATAATAAAATTAGAGGGAAGACAATGACGATGTTGCACCAAAGGATGAATGAAGATGGTCACGAGGAAGCCGATGACAAGGGAGGTCAAATATGGGGATGAGGGAGTGAAGTTATATAGTATTAAGTCGAATAACTTGTAATATACGTAATTAATATACAAATAAAAAAAAAGATTTTTATCGAGTGCTAATCCAGTAAAGTTTACTGGATAAAAGTTATTATTCTCATTTATCTTGCCGGATGAGATTACCGATCATCAAAGTGACATAGGGGCTGTTTACTAAATTTTCTATTAAGTTCTGTGTGTATAAATTTGTCTGTTTTGGATAAATTTGTCTGTCTGGATAAATTTATGTTGTTGTTTACTTTTCTATCTGAATAACAGTCTGAATAACAGAAATGACCAATTTACCCCTGAGGATAGAAAACCTTAAGCAAACAGCAAATACCCAAAAAAAAAATGCAAACTGCAGCTTGAAATTTCTTGTTTCCATTATATATACCATAAAATTGATTTTTGTCTGTTCATCCTCACTCTCGCATGTTTGGCGTTCGCCATCTCCGGTTGCTTTGCCGCCATCTCCGGTTGCTTTGCCGCCACCCCTATTTGCTTCGTCACCGGCGACCGGTCTGAGCCTTCGTCTTCATCACCTTCGCCGCTCTACTCGTTGCAACAGGTATGGTCGATTGACGGAAAAGAGAGCAACAGCTGTCGATCGATGGAGAAGAGACCAAGGGCCTACCTCTCTTTTTAGGTTGCGACAATGGTGATGAAGCTTCTTCCATTGAATAATTGGTTCTTGAGAGAGGTTTAAAAACCCTTGGTCTCTCGCTCTAAAACCCTATTTCTGTCTCTAAAAAGCTTGAGAGCAAAAGGGACCTACACCTTACAGTGAGTAGAGAAGAGAGCAGCAGTCAATCGATGGAGAAGAGATCGATCGAGAAGGGCCTGTTTACTTGTCGATCAATGGAGAAGAGAACGAAGGGTGTTGGATCGATGGAGAAGAGACTTGAGAGAGGCGTGACTATTGTGTAAGGGTAGGACAAGTCTTTTACCTGGCTTAACCTGGACAACACATGTTTTTCATCTGGGCGAATAAGCCCATTTATGAGCGAATACGCCCAAGGTAAACAGCCTTGTTTGTCTGTGCGAATAAGCCGGTTTACCCACTAAGCTCATTAAGCCACAAGTAAACAGACCCATAGTAAGATTGTTGTAAGCTTCTCTTGTCCGGTAAGTTCTAATCTGGTAGTAGTTGTCACTCTCACTTACTGGGTAAAATTTTTGGTCTTTATCATATACCTCTTACCAAGTAAGGTGCTCGATACTTGTCATGCTTACCCGATAAGATGAAACGACCAGCTTAGCATTTGGTAAACGACCTATAAACTTTTCGAAGTTAACTTAGTTTTATTTAATTACAATAGTATTTGCACAATTCAGCAAGATGTATCTCGATTTGAATTTTTGGTTTTATTATTTGTTCATGTCGATATAATATGTTTTTTATACGGTTTTGAGAAAGTAATAATTTTTTATTTTTAAATAAACTATAAATTGGGAAATATTATAAATTTTTGAAAAAAAAATATATATCAATATTAGTATCAAATTAACTATTTAAATTACTTAATTAATTTTTTTAGTATAATTTAACAGAGATAGTCAGAAGGTTTGCCTAGAAGCAGCCACGCCTGAAAGAGTGCGTAATAGCTCACTGATCGAGAGCTCTTGCGTCGAAAATAAACGGGGTTAAGCGATCTGTCGAAGTTGTGGGATATAAGAATACATCGGTAGGGTAGCAGTAGTGGACGAAGCGGAAGCGAGAATGTCGGCTTGAGTAACGTAAACATTTGTGAGAATCCAATGCCCCGAAAATCTAAGGATTCTTCCGCAAAGTTCGGATACATTTGATAACAAAATAATTTATTTTTTAGTTTAATAATATAATTTTTTTATAAATATAGTAATTAAGTATTATATCAGAACTCAATGATTATTCTAATTAATTTTTAGACTTTTTATATTTAAAATGAAATATTTATCCTGTATTTGATTATGTTTATCTGCAGTTAGTTACATGAATAAAAAAAATGAAGTTTTAATAAGTTGTACTTACGCACAATTTACGTATAATCTTGAATTTAAGTAATATTCATCAATAAACAATACTTAATACATAAAAAAAATTATTTTTAAAAGTTTTTGTTAAATTTTTATAATATAATATAGATAAATTTTAAATTAAAATTAAGATGAATGACTTAATAATCAATTTTCCATTTTCTAGAACTAGATTGCAAACGGGATGAAGTAATCGTTTAATCGTTTGACGTTCAAAAATACACAGTTGTAATAATTTTAACGATATTTATTGACATTTTTTTCAGATAAAAAAATTCATCCTCAAATGTATTATTATTTTACGGGAGATGATTCTTTTGCTGATATCAACACGCATTTAAATTTAAATAGTCCAAATTCAGAAATAAAACAGCCCATTAGACAAATAACATTTGGCCCAAATATTTATGACCAAAATCTAAATGGTCAATTTATAAAAGATTATTATTATCTGGTTTAAATAGGCACGGGAATTAGCCCCGACCCGTCGGGGAACCCGGTCTATTCGCCCCGATCGGGGACGGGGATTCTCATTAAACCGGGCCTTGGGGACAGGGACAGGGATCCCCATTTGGCTCAAACCGGGGACGGGCATCACACTTCCCCCTCGCCCCGTACCAGTATATATATTAATTGATAAATTATATTATATATTATTTATTTATATTAAATCGGTAATGGTAATTTCTATTTCGATATATTTTAGATATTACTAGATGTTGAATATTACTCAACATGTTTTGGTACATGTGACGTTAATTTTTTAGATTAAATTAAAAAAAAAATCGATTTATTAATTATTATATGATGATGTATATTTTTTATATTAAATTAAATTTCTTTTGGTTTTAGGTTTATTGGAAAAACGTGAGATTTAAACATGTGTAGCGTTTCACACATTTGATTTTTTTTAAAAAAAAAACTTATACAAACAAGAAAAAAAAATGTTCGTTTCCCCTTTGGGGACATAGATGAGGATGTGATCAAATTCTCCGGTGGGGATGGGGACAAATATCGGATATCGGGACGGGGACGGGGATTGAGGTCCCCGCCCCGTTACCATCTCTAGATTTAAATATTATGTTATAAGGACCGAGAAGTGTAAGAAGATATTTCTAAATTTGAATCAATCTTAATCAAATTTCAACACTTATCAGGTGCATCAAGATGCATCGGATCAATTCATTTCAAAAACGCAATTCATGCATGGAAATGAGATTAAAAATGATGAAAAGTTCAAATTTCTCCCTTTATGTTACAAATAGATAATTAAATTTATGTAGGTTGCATATCTAATATACGATGTTTGGCAAGACTTGTACATGATGATATGATTATCATTAAAATGTCAAAAATTTCAAAGAATCTCGTGTAATGTTGTTAAGAAAGAAGATATATAAGGGTATTATTCTGTTGATTAAATTCGTTTTTTAGTCGTTCGGTTTGGTTATTAACTTTATATATATTTTTAAATTATGCGATTGTTCAATCAGTTTTCGAGGTTCAATAAGTAGGTAATTTCATTGGACAGTTGACTCTAACAGCTTTTCAAATATAAGGTTAATTCGTTGTTTTTAATATATATATATATATATACATATAAATTAGCTTCTAACAAAAAAATTATCTAGCAAAAAACCAGTATTTTCAACGAATTTTAAACAAGAATGAATAAATTAAAATACCAAGAAACAAACCTAGTTTTATCATTTTCGGTCTGATTTCATTCACCAATTGTCTCGGTCCAAATTAAGCTTTTGTACTAATTTTCTCGTATATTTGTTGAGAGACAAGTATTTTTATTTTAAACAAAAGCGATACTTTTCTGATTAAAAATCATATTCAATAAGTAAAAAACCGATTTACTTTTGAATCGTTTATAATACATTATTACTTAATATACATATTTAAGACTTGGATTTATTTGTTTAATCCATGATATTTATCTTACATAAACATAGCTAAAAGTTGATTATCGACAACTCAAACTTGCTCATACGAGATCTGTCTTTAAAAAACACTAATGCAAGGGCACATTTTTTTGTCTCATTCAGCAGTTGAAGCTAACATCCTACAAGTAAAGATCGAATCGTATTCAAAATCTATCTTATATTTTAACAAAGTTGTCATTTTCATTATCAAATGAGTTATACGTTTAAAGAGTGAATAAACATTAAAAGGGAAAGCAAAAGGAAAAGGAAGATAGAATGATTGAATCAAAAGTGCATGGCATCCATCCAATAAGATGAAATTGGACGATTCAGCCTTACGTGGAAGTCGCCCCACTCCTACGTCCTACCTATTATCATCATCCAATCTGGACTTTACTATTTTTGACATGGTTTTTTTATTAACCTAAATATCCAATCCGTTATATGAGTCAATCAATCTTAGAATGATCATTTATTTTTCAGATAATTTGGAGTCATCGTATTTGAACCTCCATGGCCACAAAGGAATTTTATTTCTCCTTAGATTTAAACCTAAGATCTCATGATACATTTGACCTTTAAAACCAAACTCAAATTAATCAAGCACCATCCTTATGGTTCTATTTTTAACGTGGTTCATACCAAATTAAATTAGTCTTCGATTTTTATTTATTATAAAGTATTTATGAGATTTAAACAATTTTAAAATCATTTGTAAATGAACATAAACCAAGAAAAAATAATTTTTATCGACTGTGGGATCTAAAAAATAACGATTCATATTCGAATTTAATCATCTCAATTAGTCATTACCATTTTCTCTTATTGTTAGTATATTTTTTGAATCCATTTACATATATATATATATATATATATATACACACACACACACACATATGCACATATATACACATGTTTATTTTTATCATTCATTAAACATGCATATTTCTTCTCGGTTTCGTCATTGACTAAAACTAAAGTTAATTTAGGTACCTATTTTCTTTATTAAAGTTTGGACATATATGATGGTGGCTTATTTTAGTACGAAAAATTTATTATAAGGTACTTTCAAAAGCACTTCTAACAATTAAGGACCGTTGTTGGAACATGGCATCATAACAATCAGTAAATATAAAAGTAGCATAAAAATATCGAAAGACATATGTATACGGTTGTATAACTTCCAATAAAGGATATTACGTTACAAATTTTTTACAAAAACAATAAAAGTGATGACGTATTATTATTTCTTTTATCAAAAATATTATTTTATTATTACAAATCCGTCAACAAATCAATGTATTAATATTTTTAAATAGACTTTAGTATACAACCCATAAAGTGTCATAGAGATGAATTAATATCACCGTACCCAAAATCACTCCATACAAATCAAACTTATTAAAAAATTAAAGTTAATGATACAAAATTTACTCTTTTTAACTGATTTCTACTCGTTTGGTCACACGTACGTTTTTATGGCTTTTACTGTATATTAGTTCCTTAACATAAAAACAAACGTGAGTTCAAAGACGTTACTGGTACGAATATAAAAGTTATTAATTGTTAATGAAATGAATAAGTAAAATTCGACTTAAACAAAAATAAAAATATATACATACCAAAAATAAAAACCCTGATAATTGTTTTGAGATGAAATAATAGTTTTAGTATCTTTGTAGTATCAGTGGAACTTCTGAATTTCGACTTCGAACATCATCTGTCTAGAAGCACGTGATCGTATATATTTTTTATAGAAAATTTCTACTTTTTTCTGTCCCAAAAAAGTTGACATCTTACTTGGAAAAAATAATAATGATAATCTATACTACCTTATAAACCAGATTTATCAAAAATCTTAAAAACAATTTTTAATGCACAAAGTATTATACATTTATGCACAAAGTCTTAAGGGTCTTAAAAACAACTCATAATTCATTAGGTACTACTACTTTATGCATTCAGTCTTAAAATCTTTTGATCTACAATTAAAAAAAAATATAACAGAAGTTACCAATGCACATTATTATCTTTTCTTTTTATATTTCCAAGATACTTTTGACACATTTCACTCATGTTTTTACCTTCTCATACCTCTATGTCTTCTCCCCATCCCCCATTCAAACTGATATTCGCCATGAGTTATTAAAAGTTATTATATTCATCTCCCATTCAATTGCTCTAAAACTCTCGGTTTCGCTCTCGATCTCTTGATTCTTTGCTCTTGGTGTAATCGAACATGTCTGTGGAGTCGTTTAAATATGTTGGATTTTAGATATATTGGATTTTAAACCGTCATACAATTTTTTTCATCGATAGACTGTAATTGGAATCATAACTCGTATTTATTCAAATTGTATTAATATGTAAAGACCAAGTGTAACTTATATCATCGTTAAATCTTTTCTAATAAAACCAGTGAAACTTCAAAATCATTAAAATTTACTGCTCCAACCGCATTGCACAAGTACACAACTAGTAGTTACCTAATAATTAATTATTTAAAATAAGAATTAGAAGTAAAATTTTGTTTTGAGATTGTAAAATTGGGTAAAAATAAAATAAAAAAGTAATTGGAATTTTATGAGCCACCCAACCAGGACTTGGATCAAACGTTGCTTTCAAAGTTGCGTGATGCAAGTTTGCAATTGCATGCATGTGTATATATACATGATGTGGCCGTCTACGATCATGCCATCTTCCTCGCTTACCCAATCTTTATTGCTTTTTGTTTTTGTGGGTGATGCGATCCCACTGACTTGGTGCCTTTCTCTTGGATTCTTTCGATTCTACAGGTTCTGGTGATGTAAATTTTGGTCTTTTTCTTTCCTGTTTTTGTTTTGAGAATCTTTTTGTTGTTGTTGAGTTTCAATTCCCTGTTTTCTTCAAGACTCTCCTGAATTCCTATCTCAATCAATCGTTTTCATTTTGTAGATTCTATTTCTGTGTGTGTTTGCTTCTTCTGTCGGATAGGATTCATTCGTTCAAATTTTGCCAAATTGAAGGATTTCGATCAAGGTATGTCGTATACTCCACCGTTCATGGTGTTTCAAAATTGGGATTCATTTCATTATTTGGTGAATGTTATTTTTGAAAAAAATTCAATCTGAAGAATCTGGAAATCGTGTTTGTTTAGTGTTTAATTTTTTACTACAACAGTCTTAGAGTCCTGGTAATTAGGATCAGTCATCCGTGAAATTAGGGGAAGCATATATGATTCTAAACCGTGACATATGGCTTATTAATTCCGTAATATTATTAATTTGTTATGATATAACTTTTTCCGGCAGCCATGGTGACCAGAACGATAGATCTCCGGTCAGACACGGTGACGAAACCCACCGAAACAATGAGACTGGCGATGGCGAAGGCTGAAGTGGATGATGATGTTTTGATTTACGACCCGACGGCCCGACAGCTAGAGACAGAGATGGCCCGAATTACAGGCAAAGAGGCTGCACTTTTTGTTCCTTCAGGGACCATGGGTAATCTTATCAGTGTTCTAGTTCACTGTGAGATCAGGGGAAGTGAAGTGATTCTTGGTAATAATTCTCACATCCACATATACGAAAATGGTGGGATTTCAACCATTGGCGGTGTTCATCCGAGACCTGTACCGAATAATGAAGATGGGACTATTGATATCGATCTAATCCAGTCTGCAATTCGAAACCCTGCCTTTGAGATTTGTTACCCAAAAACTAGGCTTATTTGCCTTGAGAATTCGCATGCTAAGTACGAATTTGGCTTTCGTTTTTATACTGTATCCAAGGTGTATGGTGAAATGTCTAACAGAGATTACTTGATGATTCAGCTCCGGTGGCAGATGTCTTTCTGTAGAGTACACGGACCAGGTTGGGGAGCTTGCAAAAAAGCATGGGTTAAAGCTTCACATTGATGGGGCTCGTATCTTTAATGCATCTGTTGTGAGTTAAAGAAACCTTTTGTTATCATCTTAACCTCTTTCTCATTGCACTTTAGGGAGGACCCATATGATTCAGAAGGCATATTTATCAAATTAAAAAATCAAAAGTATTATTATAACCACAATATTTAGATTGGATTTTCTTGATCCATCATTTTGCAATTGTTTACTTCTGACTTTTGAAGCTTGAAACTCATTTGCCATTGATTGATTTTGTAAATTTGCTTTCAGGCTCTCGGTGTTCCTGTTCATAGGCTTGTACAGGCTGCTGATTCGGTTTCGGTATGGTGGTCTTACTTTCAAAACCCTTTTTCGTACCACCATTATAAAAGTGAAACAAGAATAGATAGTAAATAAAATATGGAACTCATAAGCATTTCGTTCATTTATGAAGTGGAATTGATGGTTAATTATCTTCAGGTATGTTTGTCAAAAGGGCTTGGTGCACCAGTTGGAAGTGTTATTGTTGGGACCAAAAGCTTCATTGACAGGGTATCTTGTAGTCTTGAAACAAGCAGTAGTCTGCATTTTATTCTGGACTTTCGGTCAATAATTTCGTTTTGCGTTATAAACTCCACACTTCATTTACGTAGGCAAGGATTCTGCGGAAAACATTGGGGGGCGGAATGAGACAGGTCGGCATCCTATGTGCGGCTGCTCTTGTTGCGTTACAAGAAAACGTTGGAAAGCTTGGGACCGATCACAAGAATGCCAAGACTTTAGCTGGTAATACACTACTTAAAGGATCTTTAAGGTCAAGCAAACTACTTTAGATGCAAATAGATATGGGTTTTTGTTAAATTCGACTACCCACCAATCTTTAATTTTGTACCCTTTGTTTTAGTCTGAAAAATGTAAAGAACTCGTATAAATTTCAAATAAGAATTAGACAAGTTGACCTCGAAAAGGTCAAAACTGTATTCGGAAAGGAAGTACTTATGGATCTTGTTTTTCCAGAGGGGATAAACAAAATAAAGGGGCTCAGAGTGGATGCAGCTTCTGTGGAAACAAATATCGTAAGCAGTCGAATTGCTCATATGATTATAAGAATCCTAGTATTTCAACTGTCCAAGATCACATCTAATATTCAGCTTTTGAACAGGTCTATTTTGACATATTAGAGGGTTCGCATATTACAGCATTGAAGTTAGGCCAAATTTTGGAGGAGCATGGTATACTTTTGATGCCCGATAGCTCATCCAGGTATGCAGTGATCTAGTAATTGTTCAAAAAGTCGTAAACTTGCATTACTTAGGGGCTGTTTACCCACACAAATTGGGTAAGAGCTAACCGGTAAGCAAGGCTCTTGATCCTTTACTGGAACAGCATCTCAGTCAGAGGTGTGGGTAAACAACATTATTCTTACCGGGTCAGCATCACTTACCCAGTAAAAAGCAGCAAGTGTTTTGTAACCATACCCTTAGTAGATAACTAGTTTATAGTTAATAGAAAGGGGAAATGATGTTGGTACGACATGGTGCAGGGTTAGAATCGTCATCCACCACCAAGTATCCGCGAGCGATGTGCAGTACACCTTGTCATGCATAAAGGTACCATACAACATTATGCAACCTATCAGTTTCGTTTATCTACATTACACTAACCCGTTGCTGTTTGCTTTCAGCAAGCGATAACCGGAGTCGCAGATTTAAACGGTAGCAGCTGAAGGACATACTCTATTTTCATTTCCATTTCTAGTTGTGTGAATGTGCTCGAATTTATCGACATCTATTATTTTGATTTGACACATTAATCTGTCGTATATCTTTCGTCAAATAAAAAAGGGAATTTGCCACCCTCCGGACGTCCCGACCGCACCGGTCTCACTCATATGTCATAATATTCCACCCATGGAAGCAACATATTTGCAAACAAAAACAAGGAGATTTTTTCGTTTTGTGATTTAAACGTGACCTTTTGCTATTTCGATAACAAATAAGACACATTTTACTTTTAACAATAATTTAAATCGAATTTATTTAATAAACGAAAACATAAAAATAATATAAATGACGCATGAAAATACAATTTAAGAAATAAAGAAAATTAAATGTTTTTTTAAAATACTACACCCCTTTGTTTAAAATATGGCTTTTAGATCACACAGAATATGATCAACGATCCAAAAAGCAAGGTCACAATCTTGTAAATTAGTGGAAAACTCAATGACATCATATGAACGCATAACAAGATATTCACAAGACTCGGGTCTTCCAACTCCGTTTTTCAATAACCGTGCTTTTTCGGGCCTGGCCTCTTGCTTTGAGTTTGAAAAAGGGTCCGTTTAGATTTTTCAGTCTAGTCTTTAGCCGGGGCTAGAAAATTGGCTCGAGCTTTAAGGCAGGGCTCGGGATCGAATTTACTAAACCTGGGGTTTGGGGTGGGCCTTTTTGTACATATCTAGTGATGGTCAAATCGTCCCGGCCTGGCCCGGGACCGGCAAAGGACCGGTTGAGGGATCGACAGTTAGAACCTCTACTTTTTCTTTTAGTGGCAGGATCATTTCCATACGTCGGACAAGATTAAGCCCGGAGTCCGTGGAACGTTGCATCTGTTTGAAGGATTACTTGGATAGTGTAATGCCCCACGTCCTTATATATTGTGTGCCATTACTACATAATAAAACTATTAAATCTTGAATCTGAACTTGAATTAGCTTTATTTATAACATATCTTGAAATTACATCAAAGAAGAAATTACTTAGCGGAAACGTAACCATAGTTTGTATTACAACAAAACTTGCTTTTCAACTAAAACCATATTACTTTATGCAAATCCTTCTTATTTCTTTCCTGAGATGCGTACATGAGATAAGCTATAAGCTATAAGCTTAGCATTTATGTTTTCATGAATGGGAAATTTTCATGATATTTTGTGAATGATAATTCATGAAAGTTCTTGATCATGTATAAAATATTTTTTATTATCATGCATAAACATTCATAAAATGCTATTCTTTATCATGCATAAAACATTCTTGTGAGATCTCACTTGTCACATGCATGTATACCATACTTGTCTTGAGGTTTGCTAACCCCCGGGTCCATAAAAGGCTGCCCTATAAGGTCCATTTGCAAGATGTCCTTCTTGTAATATCCCGTATGTTGGATATTATGGTTATACATAACATGTAAAAATGTTCATGTCTTGTGTAACACATATGATAACATGTAAATGATTTTCATGTTTTGCGTGTATACTTGTATTAGAACATGTCATCATGCATATCTTGAATATGCATGTGTATCAATATTTTCATGTAAAACAAGCATGCCAACATAACTTGTAATGCATAAAATACTTTTATATATAGCATGCATGTATCTCATAAATCACATAAGTACTTACCTTGATTTGTCTACTTTTTCCGTTGATTCCTTTCTTCAAGCTTAATAATGTATATATAGGGAAATTTCTTATTTTTGGTATGCATAAATAGTAACCCTTAAATCGCTATTTATAGATAAATTCATTGTTGGCTCTTAAAATTGTACTCTTATGAGAGTTTGACACCTCATCAATAAAGATAAAGAGAATCTTGACAACTCATCTCTAAGGATAAGAGATCCTATACAACTCATGCTTTTAGTACTCCTTGTCATGCTTCCTAGACTTGTCTTGTAATCAATAGTCTTGCCAACTCATATTTTTACTAGACTTGCCAACACACTCCTAGCCTTAACAACTCATCACTAGTTTACTTATTCATGCTTACTAGACTTGCCAATACACTTCTAGGTTTAACAACTCATCACTAGCTTGCTTAGTCATGCTTACTAGACTTGCCAACACACTTCTAGTTTTAACAACTCATCACTAGCTTGTTTAGTCTTATAATTAAGATGTTTCACTAATTGTAACAACTACTGGAGTACTTGAATTATTCATAAATATTTGCATTTAAGGCTGAAATATTGAGATTTATCTAATATAGGGTGTTATAGATAGCGTTGATAGAATTCAACACACGACATCGTTAGAGATAGCGATTGAACCGGTGGAAGAAAATTTTGAAGAAAATGAAATCGCAATGGAACTAAGTACGCCACCAACTACCGATACCGACGCATTTACTCACCATATGACGATGATGAGGAACTCGACATTGATGACATTGACGACCAGGAGGCTATTAGAAGAATTCAAGACAATGGAACTCTTCAAATCAATCCGACATGGGATACCGACGATGATTGATGAATAAATGTTTTTTCAAATAATTTTTATAATGTATTTTTGTAAGACAATGTAATTTTAATTATAATAAAACGCATTTTTAAAGTGTATTTGAGTTACCCAATTACAATTTTTACAATGTATTAAAAATATATATCATTAAAAAAAATTATTTTTTAATGCTTGGGACGGGGACCGGTTGTGAACCACCTTGATCGGTCTTACCATTTTTGACCGGGACCGGTTATAGCCGGTTTTGAAAAAGCCAGGGACCGATCAGGCCCGGCCCGGGACCAGTTTTTCACCATCACTAATATCTACACATAAATAACAAGCCAAACAAAACAAGAAGAAGCAAAGGTGGCCTATGACAGAAACAAGCAGATGGCATAACAGGGAAAAGAAAATAGAGTGGAGAGAAGTAACAAACACAACATTTAAACCCCAAAATTTTGGAGAACCATACTCTAGATATTATATATTTCTATAACCATGTATACAAGGTATTCAAGTACTTTGAGTGTTCCACTTTTATATATATGTACACATAAGTATTGCCTGCCATTTTTGTTATAAAAACTACCATTATAGAAGAATCTAACACGATAGCCGAACGCTCTAAAAAGACGAGAAACGCTGCACCCTGACATGGATTGAATTATCCCTCGGCCTTTATAACATCCTCAAGCATGTACGTAGACGAAGCATCCAATTGCTCATTCGACAAGTAGTTAATCAACAAACCTGTAGTATACACATCTACAGAGAAGCCACTGTTCTTCATACTTTCAAGAAACTGAATCGCCTTTGATGTTTGATTGTTAAGAAGTGTTCCCCGCAAAATCGTGTTATAAGTCCAAGCATCAGGTAAGCAACCACTGTTCTTCATCCTCGAGAACAACTCATTGGCTTCATTTAGTTTCCCCTTCTTACAAAATCCATCGATCATGATAGTGTATGTAATGGCATTAGGATCAATCCCCTTTTCAGACATACCCTTAAATAGAATCAAGGCCTCATCTACCCTTTTAGCCTTACAGTACCCATTGATCAATATGCTATAACTAATGACAGATGGAGCACAGTTATTATCAATCATGACATCAAGCAACTTTCTTGCATCATCCACTCTTCCAATCAAACAATATCCATCCATCAAAGAATTGTAAGTGATGGTATTCGGCATTTGATCAATCTTTATCATCAATGCAACAAGATTGTGTGCTTCTGTTACCCTGCCTTCTTTACATAATCCATCTACTAAAATGCTAAAAGTGTGTACATTTGATGAGATTCTTTGAGTGAACATCTCCTCTATCAAAATCTTGACTTCTTCCCATAATTTGCAATAACATAATGCTTTAATTAAGCAAGTATAAGTCACAATATCAGGGGAAATGCCTTTTCCAATCATTTCATAAAAGAGATGAAAAGCCTCATTAAGTTGTCTACTCTTGCAGAGGCTGTCTATAATTGTGCTGTAAACCATGGTGTCGGGTGGGCACGTTCTTGATTCGCTCATCCTCCTGAGCAAAATCATAGCAGCAGGCATATCCCCCGATTTGCATAGCCCATTTATAAGTGTTCCATAAGTAACTACACTCGGTTGAAACCTGTTTTCCACGAATTGGTCAAACAATTTGACTGCTTGATGGATTTCACCTAGCTTACAAAGCCCTCTGATCAAAATGGTAAATGTAGTGCAATCTGGCTCATAACCAAGTTTCAAGGCTTTACCAAACACAGAAAAGCCGAAAATCACTCTATTCAAGTGGCACAAACAATTGATTGCAATAGTAAACGTATAAATTGTGGGTTTGATCAAAGGGCGAAGACCTAATAAGTCAAACCGTTGAATTAGAGAAATGGCTGTGAAATAATGTTTCATTTTAACAATACGAGTTAATAATCGGCAAAAGTCTTGAATAGAGGGAAGGGGTCGGTCATAAAACATCTGATCGAATAAACTTAATGCATCAGCGATGGTCAGGTCATTGGGAAGGGGATTAGACTTACTTGCGATTCCATAAGAATGGTATCTCTTATTTGAATGAGAAAATCCAGTGGAAGAAATCTTACACAAATTTGAGCAAAATATACGAACTGATAAATGAACAGGAATGCAATTTTCATCAGTTGTCGTCATCGTCATCATCCTGCGTAGATTAAAACTGGTTCTTGCTTGCAGTGGTCTAACTCCCCGCATATGTTCTTGAGAATTTTGGGGGTTTAAGGGTTCGAAAGGGAAGTAGGGAAACCCAGCCACATATTGCAAAGTGCAAACCATAAGTTACACAAATGGTCCTCAATTACCAGTTTTATAGCAACTTTGGTCCTTAAACTTTTTAAGTTATGGTCATTTTATATGAACTAATGAGCATTTATGCAAATTTAATCCAACTTATCACCAACACAAGATATGATGGGGTTAAATTTGTCCATGAATGGTTTACCCTTTATTGTTTTGATTTTGAAGAGGAAATGTTTGTGCGTGCGTGATTTCAAATGACAAACAAAAGTCAGGCATTTTTAAAGATTCTTTAAAATAAAGAAATCAAGTTTTTGTTTATATATTTTTAATAAATCTATTATCTTATTCTTTAGAATAAAAAAAATATAGAAAAAACTTTAAATATTGGAAATTCTCTTTTAACTATATAGTGAAGAGAGAAA